CCCCCCCCCCCAGGCCTTTGGGCAAGAAGCTGTTACATTTTGCTTACCGGCGGCCACTTCTTGGTCGTCTTAAGGTGATGTTACACGTCACGATCCGCAACGACGATTTTTTAGCGCAACGACGATTTTTTAGCGCAACACAGCACTTCAACATTGTTGCGACATTGTTTTGAATGGATGCAACATTGTCCCAACATTGCTACGCTGTGTTACGCTCAAAATCGTGGTAGCGAATCTTCTCGTGTGACATCACCTTTAGTAAAGGATGACTTGCCTCAACCCTTTCCCATTGGCCCGGCAACTGAAGTAAGCTTTATTAAAAAGTTACTTCCCTATTAAGAAATCTTCTAGTCGCGGACTACCGGAAGAGACTTTTTCGAGCTCTGTGATTTATGTAAAAACCTTTCTGTTCACAAGTTGTTTGACTCCCAGTCCACGACTTGTCCTGCTGACAGACGCGCACCTCAGAGCCTTTCATATAGAACCCATCTTTGCATCGGAAGGAGCAATAAGTTCCGGGTGACAGGAGAAAACTTGAGCAAACAGGTGGGAAGGCGTTTGGTACGAACAGGAAAGGACATCTAATGGCTAAAAAAAATATTAAGATATTGAGTCTCTGCTGCCATCTCCACAGGCTTCCCAAGGCTAAGTGGGAAGCAGCGAGAAACAACAGGCGAGCGACACTGGGAACGAGGCAGGAGTCTCTGTATTTATGTTTTTATCTTATTTCTTTAATACTCATTTCTTGCTGTTATACTGTATTGTTAGTTAATCACTAGTCTTAATTTTTATAAATTGTAATTATCACACGGCATGTCTGAAAACCAGCTTGCTGAGCCATTTACCGTGTTTAAATAAAAGTTGATTGATTGATAGCCTCCCACACAGGCGTTTTTAAGGGAGTTCGTCTTTCATCCCTCCCCACGAACTCTCCCTGAAAACGCCTGCGTAGGAGGCTATATTTATGACGTTTGCAACAAAAAATTGTTTCAAAATACATCGGTTTTTAATTGACATTCGACATCATCGAAAAAGCGAAGGCTCATATTTAGCAGTTATTTATTTTTAAAAAACCATATACCATGCTTCTATCCCGGGGGTAGACACTCTCTTATTTGGCCTATTCGGCTATGCGCCGCTTTTCAGGGTTTACAATTTCCTTATTTCACATCTTGAAAAGGTGTCTTTTGAAGCCGGAATCCTTTAACAGGCTTAAAAGAGTCTGAAGGTTGAAAATGAGCGGTCCTCAGCACCAACATTTTTCTTTTTTCAAAAAATCTAGTTCCATGAATTTAGTTTAAAAAATTACCTAATTCTGAATGCAAAATGAAACAAGTCGGCGTCATAACATAAGGACAAGGTAGCGCAATGAATACAAATTGATCTTATCTGTTATAATTACCTCCCAGCCTAACTCATCCATTGCGATCAATAACAAATAGTTCTTTGTTATTAGAGCGATTTTCGTATGACCTTGAAGAATGGTTTCGGTAAGTGTTCGTCATTTGTTTTATCAGCTAATGGATGAAAAGATCAAAACATGGACTCTCCGTTTTCCCGCCAAAGAAAACCCTAATATGGAAATGGGATTGTTTGATTGGCCAATCGCGTTGCAGTATGACGTCAAAGCGAAATATCGATTGATTTTTCCGCTTGTTTATTGTTTCTGTTTTGTTCGAGCGTTTTCATTTTGAGGTCATACGAAAATCGCCCTTATTTTAGCCTGTGCTGCGAGAATATATTTAAGGAATATATATACTTGAAAGCGTCAGTACCCTTAAAAAAGTATTGTGATGGTCGCGATGATTATTAAATATGAGTCGCAGTCTAATTTTCTCACCGACGCATTGGGAGGCAATTCCTGACCAGTCCATCAAACCATATTCGCTCACAATGCACTTCCTCTCTTCGCTGCCCAATAATTCATAGCCTTCATTGCATTCGATTCGACATACTGACTCATATACAGAGTTGCAGGTACCAACAAAAGCGCCGTTTTGTGGGGGCGCCAACTTTTCACATGACCTAACTATATGAGACAAAAACAGAAGAATGACGTCATTATTTCACATTGGTCTACTCTTATGAACTGAACTCTCACTAACATCAAAATCCGACTTCGCTAGCTTAGCCCCATCTTTTATTCATTTAGCTAACCCGATTAAAAAAATTATCTTTCCACTAGTCAACTCAACAACTAATCCAACTTTCATCTTGATTAATTCAGAGATTTTGACCTCAAGAAATATAATTGTTTAAAAGAGGAGGTGTGTTAACAACTTAAAATGTCTTTCAGAATTTAAGCCTCGAACAAGCAGATGAAAGCAGATTTTCCTTTCTTTATATGTTATGATACCGTGAATGGGTAGTTTCTAAACAAAACTGTCAGTTGTGAATATATACATTTGGTTAGGATGCAATGATAAATCTATTCGTAAGTCATCTTCTACTGGACAAAAATTCTTAATCAAATATTTTAAGCATTTCAGAATTTCTTATCACTTTTATATACTGAAAATAGTGGGACAAAAAAATGGTGCGTGTTGACAAAATTCTCACCTGTACATGAGAGACCATGCTGTGGAGACCCAGCATATCCTTTGAAACACGTACAATCAGACACACTAGTGCTTCCAATAATACTATGTCCTGAGTTTGCAGGGCAAGCCTTGCAGTAACTTGAAGAGCCATCGTTGTATTGGTTGTATGGACATGCTACATTTTCACAAATTAAAACATAACAACTGTAAAAGTCACAAAGTGATAGAATATTGCATCCCAAACATGTCAGGACATAATTTAAAGCATAATTTCAATTGCTTGAACTATACTACCGTTACTTGCATTTACCAGTTGATGAGCAAAAGCCAATATTATGTCACTGAGCTGTAAGCCTATATAAATTAAACCTTTTATAGCTATCTAAATGCACCAACCATTTTTCTCGGGAGAAAAAGATAAAATTGTTTAGTAAAATCCAACTAGTGGTATATTATCAATGCTGCGTTCTAATTGGTTGAGTTACTACTAGACTATATGTTATAGCCCACTATTAGCGAAAAGCGCCCCCTTTGAAAACCAAAACAATAGCGGCTGAATCGCGTTTTGCTAGCTTATGTTGTTTTGTCTCGATATTTTTTACCAACTAGTTGGATTTTACTAAGACAATGATTCCTCGAGCCCGAATGGACTGTGAGTCAATAGCCCATGAGGCCAAAGGTTGAACATGCATAACAGCCTTTATCTTTATCGCGTTACCTAGCTCTAACGCTTATTATAATATATTTTTTTCGATCGCTGTGCAAATAATATGCAATAAAGTATCTAAAACCATATAAAGTGACAGAAAAAAAAAAAACGTTTTGTTATCGCGTAGAAATGGATCTAAACAAAGCGAGCTTTGAGAGAAAGATGTTTTATTCGATACATTTTGGTCATTTGTTCAAACTTGAGGTCAATTGAAAAAATTCGCCTGGAAATCTATTGAAAGTTCTTCCTTCACGTAGAACACTTGATTCATTTGCATAAATTCTTATTCCCGGTTATTAAACGCGGCGGATTAAACTAAAACGGGACAACGCTAGTAGTATATTAGCAATGTTTTAGGCTCTTTTTGTCTTGATTTACTTAACGTTTTCGTGAAATTAAATAAAGGTCGTTGACATTAAAAATAAGAATTACGTTAACATAGGGTGACGCTCCGTTTTGTAATGTTCTTGCTTTTGCAAGCTTAATCAGGGACACAGGACATGGTCATCATCTTCTCTTACAGAGCTTTTCAATGGGATAATGAAAAAATACTTCAAATGGAATGTGAGATGGTTAAGAATCCCAACTGATAGGAAGTAGACCAGTTAGCTATTTTACAAGCATGGCGGAGGGTTTAAATTTGAACTCGAGACTACCGTAAACAAATTCAGCTAGCGGTTAGGTGTGGACTTGAACGCTCAAACCTCTCAGCCACGCTGCTTCTTTGTTCATATCCCTTGGTTGACTCGTTTTGAAGAAGCAAGGAGTGCCGAAATTGTTGGCGCTGGGCGCCCAAATTGGGCATAATATGGTCCAAATCAAACTACTTCTGTGATACCGTGGACTCCCTCCTCCCTCCCATACCGTATGCAAAGTCAGGTTTAGGGTTGTCCGATGGACAATTTTAAATAGCTTTTACGGTATTGATAGTGACCTCTCTTTGTAGCATATATAGAAATGTTCATGTAATTTGCGTCGCTACATATGTAAAAGGTTTTATATTTTATTTTTGTGAGTTTGTACTTTTCTCGACCAAGAACGGGAAAAAAATTTAAAAGCAAGAATGATCCTCCTGGCGTGAGAAAACAACCGTTATTTCGCCATGCCAACACTGGTTTCCCCGCAAAATGACGTTTGAGAAACGAGCGCAGTAATTCCATACTGATTACGTGTCACTACCAGGGGCACCCAACGAGAATATAGTTCAAAACCACTTAAACATAATAGCGTTGTTAAACGTATTTTAGTATTTAACCGGTAGATATAGGCATATTTTTATCTCCTAAACGTTTTTTATCTGTTCGGATTTCCTAGCTGAAAGTCTAGTGTCGCCTCATCCGTATGGAATTTGTGCGCTCGTTTCTCAAACTTTGTTTCGGGGAAACCAGCGGTGACGTCTCGAAATGTCGGCTGTTTTGTCAAACTATGATCTTTTCCTGGCTTCAAAATATTTCACTTTCACACAATTACAGATACACTGTATGCTTGGAAAGTTGAGCCGAATGTCCTCCAGCCACCTCTTGGCGGATTTCCGTTCAACATTTCTTTTACTTACGTTTCCCAATGTCTGATAGCTCATCTAATGGCCTCCCGATCTCCTGACCAGAATCGCTTTTTACAAATTGAAACCGACAGGTAACCAAAAGAAACACCACAATTGGAACACCACCTATCATCTTCGAAAAGGTGTGGTAATTGCTCGCAGGTGGATATAGATTGTGACCGTGAGAGACGTTAAAAGTATTAACGGGCTCAGAACTGTTTCGCTGATAAACGAAATATTGATGGAATTGTTAGCAGCTGAATAAATGGCAAGAAAAATCTTAATGAACAAAAGTGATTAAAAGCGTTATTACTGAGTGTTTATACAACTATGTACACACTTTTAAGGAGAGACGCCTTTCCTCGTCAATGTAGGGCCCCTAAACGATGAAACGTTTACCCACTGAAATATAGAATATACTTAATTCAACTTTTTTTGTTAAGTAAGTTTAAAAAGTTCAGTTACCCTCCTAACGAACGTTTAGTTATTATCTAGATATTTTCTTACATTTAGACAATTTACGGTCGTTGTAATAACTTTCAGTTTCTACTCTCTACTTTTGTAAAACGTCTTAGAATATTATTGGCGTAATATAGAAATCAATTAACACATTACCATTAACGAGATCTCCTTGAGGGGCTTTCAAATTTCAACTTACTGGAAAGGACTTACAACAAAGATAAACCTGGAAAATGCCTATAACAATTACAAGTGAAAGGACAGTTAGTAACAAAAATATACGTGTTATAATGGAAGGAAGAAATTAAATTAAATAATACAGTCGATTCTCTCTTAACGGACACCACTTTAAGACGGTTCTAAAGGTGTCCGGCCTGGGGAGTGGATAGATGACGGTATTCACCATAGACCAAGTAAACATCTCTTGAGAAAGATTTTCAATAACGTCTGAGACTTTATTCCTTAAAGGCTCTCCGGAAGTCGTTTCATTGAAGCACCACACCACTGCCAAAAAAAAATCCTCTTTTGTCCAAGTCGACTTCTGCATTTGATAGCTTGACGAAAAGGATGCATGAATTGTATTATTGTGACTGTTGCATGCGTAAAGTACGAGTTTTCGATAGTTTTAGTAAAGGTAGCGATAAAACGTTTTTGATTCGAAACCCAAGGAGAGGAGTCCCCTTTTACTTTTCATTTGATGTTACATAAGATGAGTACTAATAAACACAGTGTATCTAAAAAGAAGGAAAAAGAGGAATAACCTCCAGTTTATCAGGTGTGCAAATATTGGCCAAAGTTGAAAAAAGCCATAGCTAAATTTGCATGTCAATGTCAATGATGATTGAGGCACACTGTACTCATAGAAACAGACCTGAAACCTACAATGTGTTTCAAAGAATTTATCAACCGTCAGTCGTTCAGCGAGTCATGAGCAGTACACGATCAGCTTTTCACATGTGTATGACAACTCGTTCATACAGCCTCAGTTGGGCAGCACTTGTTTCTTGACCTGTACAACTAACGTGCCACATAAAATTGTGCACATGATCTCATTTACAAGAGCAAATACAATTGTCACAAGTAAAAATCGTCACATAAAACGTGCTTGTGTGCACGTTTTATTCCTAATTAACCACATAAGTATAATTTAGAGTAGAAATGTATCTCTTATAGGCTTAATTAGTCTTTGAGCTCTTGGAAAAATATCGCTGAGTGAAGTGTCCGTTTTTACTCACCAGAGACGGATTCTTGTCGTCAAAATCAAAGACACATGAGCAGACGGATAAAATCAGACGCATTGTTCGTACAAAATGGGCACTGTCCCGTTTTCACAATAACACAGTGGCCATTTTGAATTTTGGAGTCATCTGATAGGAGAAATATTTGAAACCTAAGACAATGGAAAAACTGTCAAGAGTTCCAATGTTTGCTGCGAAATATAAGGTGATAAATAACGTATCATATTATGAGAGACACAAGCAATCCCTTATGTGTCTTATTGAGGTCGAAATTCTGTTGAATGAAATACTTGCCAGGCTTAAAATAAGCGCTCTCTCCTCAGTTAAGGTCGCCAGCCCTACCCTCCTTCCTCGCTCCCCCTCCCCCTCCCTCAAATTGGGCCATTTGTACAATGGCATCATTTTACTTCTACTACCAAAATCCGTCATCAGGGTTTTGCTTGCTTTAAGCCTCACTGGGATAAAAATATTTATATATGGAAGTAAAAACGAAATGAATTCTGGTCTAAGTAGTAAGAAGATATCATGGTACAAATGGCCTATTCTAGCATTTTTGATCACCAAAGCACTTTAAGAGATCCACACGCGATCCATGTTCGACGTATGTATAGAATTCCATCCACTAGGAATAAATGACTAAGTATTGTAATTAAGTAGATAGATAAATAAATGACACTTGGTGTTTTAATTCATAGAGTTAGAGGTCCTCGGATAGCTGGGACGTCACGAAGCAACAGCTTTCTCTCACCCCAGCCCCCTCGCGTTTTCCGCATCAGTTTCACAGTTTATTAACACTTCTTGTCTTGGAGCCTGGAACAAGCTATATTAGAGGAAAAAGATGTTCTTATCAAAGAGAATGATGTCTGCGCAATTATACTAATAATTATCTAATTAATTGCTCCTTCGAGTAGCCACGAAATATTTCTAAGGGTCGGTGTCGACCTACTTGTCTCCGACTTATTTAAATGCACTAGTTTCCGTTTATTCACAGTTGACTGCTTCGTGTAAGCTTACTTTTATATGATTTTTAACCTGGATCAAATACATTTCAGCAAGCAATCTAGAATTCTTGAGGATATTATTTAGAAGGAAGAAAATTAAAGTAAGGGGCTAAAAGACCTAGTTGTTTAGCGGTGCCGACGTAAAAGAGACGTCATTATCAAATCGCGTCATTAAAAGCAAATCGATTCGAGGAAAATTAGAATGCCAGTCTAGAGGAAGGAGTACTCTATTCAAGCTCGGTAAGAAAATCTTAATACCAGCTGCTAGTATATCGTGCAGGGTGTTTTCTTATATAACCAGTTCTGCTCTTCGCCTATAGAATAAATTAATGCATTACTACTACCACTTATTAGCAAGATAAAGTAGCGATAGAGTACTTTTTGAAGTCAACTCAATCGAGCGAGTCTTTTGACATCAGAAAAAACACCGTGAGTCTCTTCAGTTTTTGCTTTCTTAGCCTTTAACTCCTTTTCCTTATTATGTAGTAGACGAAAACTTTTGATTTCTTGATTCTGAATCTGTTTCCAAAACTAAGAACAAAATTTCATTGACCCGTTCAAAATTTAACCCTTACATATTTGTCAACTTATCTTGAGATGGTTTACCAACAACACACATTACCAGAGGCATCTTTAAATTTTAATTGTTAAAAGAGAAAATGGTTTAGAAAGTTAACATTAGATTTCAAAAGGACTGCTAATGTTCCAGTCAAAAATTGAGCGGCATCCATCGAACCTGCAGTTAGTCTCCTCTTCACTACACAAGAAGCAAAAAAAGCTAGCTGGCCATATTTTTGTCAGCATTTGAAGCCTACTTTATTCTCGCTTTGAAAGCATAAAGATTGTTTTCAATATTTTATTTCCCTTTAAAAAACAAATAAATAAACAAAGACAAAACGAATAGAAATAGGGAAAAGTGGATATGACGCAACAAAGACTATCTAGATCATTCTAAACTTCGATCGCGCGTGCTCAGGTTGTGTTTCATGCAAAGGTGTGTGTGAAAGAAAAAGAAAGAAACGGCAAAAATAAAATAATGAGATAATAAAAAAGGTGAATCTCTTCCAATAAATCAAGGGAGGTTTATCCTTTTTTCAATAAATTTAATCCCCTCTCTGAAGAATTTAATGGTTATGCTTTAAATAAAAAAGAAAAATATCCCAAGGGAAGAATGAAAAACGCTCACTGCAGAATGTTGTGTTTATATTTCCGAAATCTAAGTAATTATAAAAATAATATATATCAATAATGATAGTCGTATAATAATAGTAATAATAATGATTATTATTATTATTATTATTGTTATGGCTCTGCCATTGATTTTCCCATGTGTATGATTTAAAGTGAAATTATTATTATTATTATTATTATTATTATTATTATAATGATGATGATGATAATTGCGGGCGACAAGAGGAGCCCGCAATCCTAATCTCCAGGTTGTTATTACGCATGCATCGCATGCATGTAGCCAGCATTCGTTTTGACCTCCTCTAAGAATCAATGGAATGCACAAAACGCTATTTGATCACGTGCGTTGCGACCTTATGGCCGCGTAATCTGATCACTCGTGTTTTGACGATCTGTCAAGTGAAACTTACGTGAAAGCACAGCGTTGAGCCAAAGCGTTTGACTGCGTTTGGACCTCCGATCGTTGCCGCCCGCACTCCGACCGTAACCTTTAGTTATTACTAGTTATAATGAAAAAATTTTCGTTTCCTTTGCGTACAGCTTCCGCGAGTTGTGAAAATGGAAGCAGATCAAGAAGGAGTGGACGATATGGTTGAGCTGGCGGAAATTTCAGAAAAAGCCATTGCTGCCAACTTGTATGTTCGACTCAAGAAAGAAACAATTTATGTAAGTGCCGTGACCTTATTTAACGCCTAGCAAGTCGTGATTTAACGTCAATGAATGTGATTAAGACATTATGTAGCCATTATGATAGCCGATCTGTCGCTTAATTTTCTGATCTTGCTTACTCTGCACTCAGCCATGAATTTAGTTCACTAGGTAGTTGAAGGAAGCCTATTAATATAAGCTTCAAGCTTCGTTAGGCTTCCTTGTCACATTAATTTTATAATTTAATTAACACCTTTTGTTCATGTTGTATAAGGTTTTGTGAGTGACTAAATAAATAAATAAATAAATAAATAAAATATTAGAAACTGTTAATATGAATGGAGAAAGATACTACACCAGGAACATCCTACAAGGCAGATCATCCTAGCGCCACATGTTTTCTGTATTCAAGATACATGCAAAAAGTTGTACTTGTCCCTAGCGCTAAGATCTTTCTAGCTGAGAGGTAGGAAGATCCAAGTACAAGGAAGATCTTTGCACCATGTAAACTGCTTTCGCTAGGAAGATCCTAGCACTAAGGACAAACCACAATCACATGGAGGGCAGATGGTTAAGTGAGTAATCATTAATCTTTAATTCCCTCTCACTGTTAACCACTCGGAACAAAAGTTCTGCTTGTAAACCCAACACAAAGTTGTTTCGCCTAGGGCTGCGATCTTCCCCCTCTATGTAAACAGCCCTATTAATACGGACAGTCAATCGGATGTGCTCTTTTGACAGACTTACATAGGCCGCGTGTTAATAGCAGTGAATCCCTTTAAAGTACTTCACATTTATGGCCCGGATGCGGTAGATTTCTACCGTGGTGGTGGGGAGACAGATCAAGGAGACGAGATAGATGTCCCAGATCATGATGACCGTGCTACCCGCTGTACAACAGCACAGTTGCCTCAAGATATACTGGAGAACAGAAGAAGAAGCCTTCATGTTTCTAGTGATACCATGGGTCAAAGCGGACAGACCATGTTCAAGAATTGCAAGGTGAATACGTTAAAATCCACTCTCTGTAAGGCATGGGTCTTTTTCATATATAGTTTGGACAATATTAGACAATATAGATTTAGCATATTTCGTACGTTTCATGTGGTGAATATTACGCGCTGTGATTGGTCATTGCCCCTGATCTATTAGAGTACACACGAAAAGGACGTCACAGGAAACTTGTTTTTTTCTTTTGTCCAACATGATGGGCGGTTTTGAATAAAAGTGTTGCAATATAATTTAAGTTTAAGTTTAATGCCTGTTTGCCATCCGTACAAAATTAAGATCTAAAAAGGTAAAAGATGGTGGGAGAGCAGCAGGGGAAAATTGAATTCTTATTCAAGGGCTGCTCTCCTTTCGAATTAATTGAGTAAAAGCCTCGAAAAAAGTTTAAAGGAGCTGTTTACAAGCAACTGAAACCGAGAAACTGAGACAGAAAGAGTTCTCAGCGACTTGGACATTGTGAAAGTGACCAATTATTCTTTTATGTTTCTAAAAAACTGATTGATATGTAGGGTCCAAAGCCTCCTCACCTGTACGCGCTAACTAACACTATGTACCATAATATGATGATGGAACATGAAAACCAATGCGTTATCATCAGGTTAGTACCAAAAAAATTAATAATGGTCTAAGTAGTGTTCAACTTGAACGACGCGTAGCGGGAGTCGGATCACACACCTGATTTAACAAGGAACCCAAATGCGATTGGAAACGAGTAGCGTGGAATTTTAAAATTCAATTTATATTAATTTTTTTGACCATTTAGGGCCTGTTTACGTGGAGTTGGGGGATACCAGGTCTGGTGCGAAATTGTGTGGAAAGGCGGGTTACCCCACCTAAACTGGTTACCTCACCTACCTGGGGTCCCCCACCTTCATGTAAACAGGCCCTTAGTTCAAAGATGTCTGACAGCTTCTCTTTTGACGCAGGGTATTTTAAGAGACCTGCACCGGACGTACTTCTCAACTTGATTAATTGGAGAATTTTTATCTTACAATGATATCCCACTTTCAGTCTATTTTTATTTGTTTATTGTTTCGTTTCGTTTTGTTTTGTTGTTGTACAGTTGTTGTTTTTTCTATCGTCTTTAGCGGGGAGAGTGGGGCCGGTAAGACGGTTTCCGCCAAGCATATTATGAACTTTATAGCTAAAGCATCAGGAAAGGGGTCGGAAAAAGTCGAGGTAAGAGAAATTAGTTGAATACTGTGGTAAATACCACAAAAAATAGTTTATGTCAATTCTTAGACAACGTTATGCAATTCAGTTAAATTGTATGGGATCAGGAATATTTCTTTTAGCCCTTCTGTATTCTCTCCTTTGTCAATTTTTTTTGGAAACTTCGCAGAACGGGATTTTAGAGCCAAGTTCCGTTAAACTAATAGGAACTACTGACAAACTCTCTAGACAGAAAGTTGTTTACTCTTTTTATATAGTTTAACTAATGATTGTAAAGTCCACCCTTTACTATACACGCTTGCTGCTTGTAAAATCATGTTGTTGAATGTTATTCCAGCATATCAAGGATATCATTATTCAGTCTAATCCATTATTGGAAGCCTTTGGTAACGCCAAGACTATGAGAAACAACAATTCCAGCAGATTTGTAAGTAATGATCGACTGCTTTTCCCTCTAGAGCTGATTTTAATCAGTTTTTGAAACCAACAAAGTCGTTTTCTTTATTAGTTTTACCTTGCAACGAATGTTTTAAGTACGCTACTTTGGGGGCCGTATAGCTCATGCCAATTTGGCGCTCACCATAGAAATTTATTTGCTGTGTATTTTTTGTAATTTACTCAATGGGCTGTCTTTTTGTGTTAATCAGTGCGTACGGCTTGTTTCGAATTTTGGCAGGGGTTCTAAAAAGCCACCTCGAGGGGCGAGCACGCCTTGCGACAAGACACACACATCGGCAATGTGTCTTCGATAACTTCCAGAACACATTATAGGTTACCTGTTGATTGAAACAAAAGACTGAAACAAGCTGTATCGGACAAAACCAAACAACCATTTCTACAAAAATCAAAAATTTGTCAAATTGAGGTTTAATGTTCAATAAATTGGAATCTACTAGGAATCCTAATGTAAACAAAAATGGGATCATTATGCGTTTCTGGGTAACTGATCACCCACCCATCCCCTAAATCAACATTTTGCCCTAATTGAGAAGTAAGTGTTAATGTTGGTTTAGGGGAGGAGTGGGTAGTCAGTTACCCAGATACGTAAAATGATCCCGAAAATGTGCAAGTTATCTGTATTATCTACTTACTTGCCTTTAATCTCTTTTACCGAAAGGGAAAATTTATGGAGATTCAGTTTAACTTTTCTGGCCACCCCGATGGAGGGAAAATTTCTAATTTTCTCCTTGAAAAGGTAAGCTAGACAAACTAAACACAGTTTTACGTGAGAAGGTAAATATTCATCGATGTAACTCCTCCTTCGGCGTAGAATGTTCCTGGGAGGTAAATTTAGCAGTCCTACTCTTTCAAATCGACGTCAAATGTGCTCATTCACTTCCCAGTCTTACTTATATGATTATTTATTAATCAGATCGTAAATGACAAAAACTTCATTAACTGGTCTCTGATTTTTACGTTTTTTCTAGTCTCGTGTAGTGCACCTGAATAAGAATGAACGTAATTACCACGTGTTTTATCAGCTCCTTTCTGGCTGNGCCACCTCGAGGGGCGAGCACGCCTTGCGACAAGACACACACATCGGCAATGTGTCTTCGATAACTTCCAGAACACATTATAGGTTACCTGTTGATTGAAACAAAAGACTGAAACAAGCTGTATCGGACAAAACCAAACAACCATTTCTACAAAAATCAAAAATTTGTCAAATTGAGGTTTAATGTTCAATAAATTGGAATCTACTAGGAATCCTAATGTAAACAAAAATGGGATCATTATGCGTTTCTGGGTAACTGATCACCCACCCATCCCCTAAATCAACATTTTGCCCTAATTGAGAAGTAAGTGTTAATGTTGGTTTAGGGGAGGAGTGGGTAGTCAGTTACCCAGATACGTAAAATGATCCCGAAAATGTGCAAGTTATCTGTATTATCTACTTACTTGCCTTTAATCTCTTTTACCGAAAGGGAAAATTTATGGAGATTCAGTTTAACTTTTCTGGCCACCCCGATGGAGGGAAAATTTCTAATTTTCTCCTTGAAAAGGTAAGCTAGACAAACTAAACACAGTTTTACGTGAGAAGGTAAATATTCATCGATGTAACTCCTCCTTCGGCGTAGAATGTTCCTGGGAGGTAAATTTAGCAGTCCTACTCTTTCAAATCGACGTCAAATGTGCTCATTCACTTCCCAGTCTTACTTATATGATTATTTATTAATCAGATCGTAAATGACAAAAACTTCATTAACTGGTCTCTGATTTTTACGTTTTTTCTAGTCTCGTGTAGTGCACCTGAATAAGAATGAACGTAATTACCACGTGTTTTATCAGCTCCTTTCTGGCTGCCCCAAAGAACAACACAGTAAGTAAACGTACCATCAATGTACCATACCTTCAATGTCTTTTACCCATTACTTTATACTTTTGGACTGCCTAAGTTTAAAGTAGAAGAAAATAAACTCGGAAGATAAATTCAAATTTTCAAGATCAATCGGAACAATTTCCATGTGAAAGAAAAAACTCTTCTGGTGAGCTTTGTCATCTAATTTTTTTTCATATATTTTATAAGTTCTTCCTTGAGGGCATTACCGCGACGGGATAAGGTCAGTAGGTAGAGTGCTTGGCTGTAGAGCAAGAGTTCCTGGGTTCTATCCCTGAGGCTGGACCAGTACTCGGGGTCTTAAAATAACTGAGAAATGAAGGTGCTACATTTGCCCTGCGCGTGCACAAGGATACATAAAAATCGCGTCCCTTAATTATATATATTTAGTGCTTAATACATTGGCATTCAAATAAAGTGCATTTTTTTCCTATTTTTCTTCGATGTCAGACGATTTTGGGTTTGAATTTGCCAGACCTGAATTTTATTTCTATCTAAATCAAACTGGTGTCTACACAGTGGATGGCACAAACGATGCTGAGGACTACAATTGCTTAAGGGTAAAAATTATTGTTATTCGCATATTTAAAACATTACTTTGATATAAAACGCTTTTGCAAATAAATCGATACAAGACGATTTCGTTCAGGCAAATACACTGTTAAGATTCGAAACCACTGAACTAGGTCCGTCCACCGGGACCGGTCTTTTATCCTTCCCGGAAAGAGACGAGAGGATGAGCGTAGGTTCATTTTCTCGAGACGCGGAAGAAATCGAGCCCACGTTTAACCTTCCTTGCCAAATAAATATGGTGCTTAATGGATGTAAGTTGCAACATATCTAGCACCACCCTGTCCGCACCCCTTCAGTTACCCTCTCCGTCGTTCTGTAAGCTTACCAACTCACCGGGTGTCTTGAGATTAATAACATAAACACAAGGTTGACACGTACCTTAAAAATACCTACTATTAATAGTAGTATAGTAGGGACCGAATTAACCTTTTTTGCGCTGGAACTTTGCGCGCTTTTATTTTGAAAACATATTAGATTCTACATTAACCAATCAGGGTTTAGAAGATACTGGGCAAGCTCAAGCAGTTCATTTGATGAGATACCGCAGCAATTAAATAATGATTTAAAGATAAAAGGGTATAACCTCATTCATCTAAAACCTGACAGACCGGTTAAGCCACCTAAAAATAGCACATGACCTTATGTTAATGAGATTCCAGCGCGGTTCATTTACGAGATAGAGACATATCGGTGTTAATGTATTCCTCTTCCTGTTAATGAGATTATTGCACCAAAAAGGTGAATTCGATCCCTTTTATACTACTTACTATCTACTTACAGCAAGCGATGAGCGTGGTTGGGTTTAACACCACCACCCAGACAACGATACTAAAGTTGGTTTCTGCCATTCTACATCTTGGTAACATAAATTTTAAAGAGGAGAACAACGTGGCTGTACCTGTCACCGACAACAGTAAGTACAAATCGTTACCTAAAAGTTACAGAAGTCTCGGCTTGATGTCTAGCCTCAGAAAACAGCCGACATTTTGCGTGACCACCACTAATTTCCCGCGAAATGTCGTCTAAGAAACGCGCGCAATAATTCTACACGGATGACATGTCACTATCCAAGTCTGGTTAGTGCTTTAGATAGTTGAAGCAAATTTCTCGCGCGACACAAATAATCAGTAGTACAGGGTAGTGACAAGTCATCAGTATGGTTATCAGTTTCTCAGGTGTCATTTCGAGGGGAAAACCATTGGCGGCGTCTCGGAATGTCGGCTATTTTCTCAGGCTACTTGATGTCACCAATTAACAATATTGTACACTTTCAGTGCTAACTGTTCCAGCGAGGCTTCTTAGTGTCGATAAAGACCTTCTCAAGGAGAAATTAATCAGGTAATGATTGCTCTAGCTTTTTATTTTACTAAGCGAGTTAATCAAGAAAGGCCATTTTTTGGCACAATTGAGAATTTAAGTACGCAAATGCTTATAATTAGAATGGGTACTTAGCAAAGACACCCTCCTGAAAACTGTGTGTCAGACTACCTTTTAAGGGACCCTTTATTTGGCACACATTATTTCTGTCTTTATCATAACGATCAAATGAAAGAAACAGTGATTTTCTTTTTTTAAGCTCGATAATGGAAGCTCGCTGGGGAGGCAAAGTAGAAGTAACAAAGAAAACTAACAACGCTGACCAGGTTCGTAGATTTACTGGGGGCGCTTTCCATTCAGCCTAAAATTTTGGAAATTTTTGTTAGAAGTCAAATGGAACGGACCATTTCAGTTCGGTCAGACAGGAATATTTGACCAGCGACAAAATTGTTGCCCCCAGTAACGCTCTTTTGTATCCTACTTACAAGAACAATAACCAAACGTGCGGTGGCTTGGGTCGGGTCTGGTCGTTGCATTGGGCACGTGAAATGTCCCAAATTTCCGACCAGAATTTTTGTTCAATGGACAGCACCCTAGAACTTTTCATAAAAACGGACTATCTTTCTGTTTGATTATCAATCATGGAGTAACAAAATGTAAAGAAAAATAGGATGATATGTAAAACGACAGGCGTACAAACGGCAACAGCATTGTCGAGACAGCCGTCAGATGGGCTATATTTCGAGAAGTAACCAATCCTGATCCTTCCCCTCCCTTTCCGCCTCCGATCCAACAAAAGTCACCGATTTTAGCTTATTTTTCTACCATTAATTTTTTGTTCCCCAGCCGTAACAGCAACGTTACAAAATTAATACATATCTCATCTAATACACGGCTTTATTTCTTTTTTAAAAGGCTCTTCAGGCCCGTGATGCGTTGGCAAAGGCTCTATACTCACAGGTGTTTGATTATCTTGTACAGGTAGGGTATGACTGCAATCACTGTAACAGTTTTTCTTCTTCAACCGTTTAAGAAATTCACTTAGTCAAACTTCCCCTTTTTCTTTGCTTAATTTATTGAGTAATAGATACAAATACTTCGGAATCATAAGTGATATTTTCCTAATATTTTCCTCTTGCTTTGTCTTTTCCTCATCTTGATTTCTGCTTATTTCAGTGAGACAGTAAATTATCCTTGTCAACAACGCAAATGTTTATTCTACAGGGCATCAATGAGGCTATGCAGAAAGATAAAGAAGAAATGTCTATAGGAGTTCTTGATATCTATGGCTTTGAGATTTTTGAGGTGAGCTAAGATGGAAAACTTATTTTAATTTCTTAATAACAACATACGATATACATTGTAAAACGTTAAGTGAACAGTCTTGATTAGAACAAAAACTAAAAAAACCTTAAGTGTTACCTCCTTTGGCCTCCTCCACCCCTGATAAATGGACGCAAGGCGCAGATAAAATTTCGTGTACCACTTGGTATCACATGTGGTTTAGTCTTTTCCAGTGGTTATTAGCGCACCCAGCAATATGTCAGGTAGGTCACGGGTTCGTTCCTGAGCTTAAAATTTGTTGTCACATCGATAAATTTTGAACATCCTACCCACCTATCGGCATTCTAGTTCCAAAACAATAATTACGTCCATTTCTTGAGCTAAGTGTACTGTGTTAAGCTGCTATAAGTCTTCTCTAGCTCAGTAGTAAAGCATCTTAAATAGAGAGGAGGCCTTTAGCAAGATGACGTCATTTTACTTCTTCCACCAGAATCCTTCAGAATTCTGAGAAGACTAAAATTCGTGTTAGAGTGTCTGACGCATGCGCGCTAACACTTTTAATTCACGTTCTCTTTGTTTCAGCATAATCAGTTTGAACAATTTGCCATTAACTTTGTCAATGAAAAGTTGCAGCAAATTTTTATTGAACTCACATTGAAAATGGAACAGGTGCGTTAACAATAAAGAACTTTTTATGGGTTTTAAGTCTAGAAAGGAGGATTATAGACTACAATACTGAAAAGGAGTTTATCAAATTCGATTAAATCAAGCTAATTAGTAACAAAAAAGTATTAAACCAGCAAAACAAATTTTGATTATCGTGAAGAAGAGTCTGTGTCTGGTAAATTAACCAGTGAAATCGAGAAACAATAAAACAGCAGATATGACAGGACATATCAGTTTGTTACGGCAAGATCATTGGGTGTTATACTTTTGTAGTTTCTTCTAGTTGAAGATTAGTGCAATCACCGAATCAGGGGCACCCAACGAGAATATAGTTCAAAACCAATTAAACATAGCATTGTTGAACGTATTTTAGTACTTTAAACGGTAGATATAGGCATATTTTTATCCTCTAAAAGTTTTTCATCTGTTTGGATTTCCTAGCTGAAAGTCTAGTGATCCGAAAATTATAGGGATCAAAACTTATCTTTTCGGAAATTTCATCCAGAAAAAGGGCTCCCGAAAATTCTAGGTGACCTTTCTAGGGTAAAAACCCGTTAAAAATGGGAAATTATACCATTTTTAGATGTTCGAAAATCCTAGGAGAGGCAGGCAAGCCAGAAATTTTACAACAAGTGTTCCGAAAATTCTAGATCTCAAATAGTCTTCCGAACAAATATTTTCCGAAAATTGACGTTGCGTGTCCCTGCCGAATCACGTAATATAAAACATTGAAAGAACACCTAACAATGCCCACACCACAAACATTGGCTAATTAAAAATGTTCAATGGCTAATCAATAATGATTTCAGCAACACCAAGAAACACGCCCCTTTTTTAAAGTGACCCACTTCCATTGAAATATCTCGTAGGAAGAGTATGTACAGGAAGGAATCACGTGGCAAGAAGTCAAATATTTTAACAACAAGACGGTTTGCGAGCTTATTGAGAGTAAGGTATCAGTATTTTTTCAGCATAACAGATTCAAACTTGGGTTTCTCATTGGGACCAAGGTCTCCTCTCCGACGATGAAGAGGAAGTTTAAGACAAACCATTTGAAATAACAATAATAATAGTAATAATAATAATAATAATAATTATGATGATGATGATGATGATAATAGCAACAAAAATTCTTTCTAACGTAGCTTATTTATGTTCTTTATGAAACATTCCTTGGTCCTCTATATGTTTATAACTTGGACACAAAGAAAGTTTCTATTTACGCCCTACGATGAGTTAAACGAACAATTTTTGATTATAATGATTGACGGAACTGTTAACGTGACATAAAGAGTTTCGTTTTTTTTAACCTTATCTTATCAAGTGATTGAGTTAAACGTTTTGTGACGTGCTTTAAACTGTAATCACTCGGTCTTCCGAGACGTTTTGGCACTAGATTCACAGTATAAAGCACATGACAAAACGCCTTACTCTTTCACTTGATAAAATATAGTTTTAGGTTTTAGGTAAGATTATTAATTTAAAAGTAATGAAATAGATTAGTGCCAGTGCTTAAGAAAGTGGTCCCAATTAGCTAACTGTTAAGCTAAATACATTGACACTGAAATGAAGTTATTATTATTATTATTATTATTATTATTATTATGTAAAATTTAGCACAGAGATTTTCCTTGGGGAGAAATATCCAGTCAAGTCTCATCCCGAGACCTTAGACTTCCAGCACCTTTCTGAGGATATGTGCCGATCCGAGGAGTGCCGACTTTTGCATCGTTCTTGTTCCTAGTGGCTCCAAGTGACCTGCCAGCTTCTTTGACACTGAACCCAATGCACCTACAACCACTGGCACCACTTTTGTCCTTGATTTCCAGATCCTTTGAATCTCTCTTGCCAGGTCTTGGTACTTTTCACACTTTTCAGTTTCTTTCTGCAGTATATTACTATCTCCGGGAACAGCTATGTCCACAATGATTGTTTCCTTTGCCTTCTTTTTCTGAATTACAATGTCTGGCCTCCTGTGATGGATTTCACGGTCTGTTTGGATGGTAAAGTCCCACAACAGTTTAACCTCCTCATTCTCTTCTACGCTTTTGGGGGAATGCTCATACCATTTGTCACTGCACTCAACTCCATATTCCTTGCACACCTCCCAATGAATGACCCGCCCAACAACACCATGCCTCTTTTTATATTCTGTCTGCGCAAGCTTGGGGCAACTACACAAAATATGCTGCACAGTTTCATCGTGGCTACCACACATTCTGCATTTGGATGATACATTTTGGTTTTCGATTCTGGCTTTTACGGCGTTTGTTCTTACTGCCTGATCTTGCGCAGCAAAAATAAGCCCTTCTGTCTCCTTCTTCAGTTCACCAGTTCTTATCCACTCCCAAGACACACCAGATAGGTCATCTGTCTCTCTCTTGAACTGCCCATGCAGCTGCTTTCCACACCAGTCCTCAGTTCTTTTCCTTTCCATCTTTTCCTTATATTCCTTTGGCGTTTCAATTTCATTGACATTCTTCCTCTTCCATGCAGCTTTCAACAACCGTTCCTGGCTCTGGCAAACGTAGACATTGATATTTCTTTCTTCAATATTAATGGCATCCTCAACACTAATTAGTCCACGCCCTCCTTCTCTTCTTGGTAGGTACAAGCGGCTTACATTGGACCTGGGATGAAGAGCGTCATGGATGGTTAATAGTTTCCTGGTCTTACGATCCAATTCAGCAAGCTCACTCTTTGTCCAATTTATTATTATTATTATTATTATTATTATTATTATTATTATTATTATCATTATTTTTATTATTCTTACGGAATCGAACGTTTTTGTATGCTAACACGTTTCTATGCTGGGAATATGAAACCTCGTTCACTCTAAATAGCAGTGGGTTACATATTTATTTTGATATTTTTTCATCCCTTTGTTAGCGTCCCCCTGGTATTATGTGCACTCTTGATGATGTCTGCAGCACCATGCACGCAGTGTCTGAAGGCTCAGAAAAAACTCTGATGGAGGTATATAATAAATTTTAACAGATTAACTTCCTTGTGAAAAAATCATTTTAGGATGTTATATATAATATGCGAGTGTTTGAATAGCTCTGTCACCTCTCTGCAGAACAAACCATTTCTATGGAGTGTTCCATCTTTGTCAGTTCCTCAAAGGATGATAGAAGAGTCGTTTTTGAACGCTTAATATATTCTTGATAAAAAAAAAACAGTCATGCGTACTGTTTAAAATGCATACATTGAGTCTGTAACCGTACAAAAAACAACAGAAATAGCAAACAAACCTGCAACTGCCGTCTAATACTCTGCACTCAATTGGATCAGTGAATACTATAAGATCGTTTGAATCTTCAAATGAGGTATTCATGCATCCACGCCATACTTTTTCTCCTGTTTATGGCTGTCTCATTTCATTGTGGATATTTTCTGATTGTGTTGATTCTTTTTACTTTATCAGAAACTCCGAGCGGTTGTGGCTTCCAATAAAGATTTCTCTCGCTACTTTAGGGCTCAGTCGAACTACTTTACTATTACACACTACGCGGGAAATGTAAGTGACGCGTAACTCGTGAATTTCTCATACTAGGAAGCAAATAGTCTGCTACACAGCCTTTTTAGAGTGGTCACACAACGCTCCTCGCCTTCGTGGGGAGGAGCGTTGCGTGACGACACTAAAAACGGCTGTGTAGCAGACTAGGAAGCAAACGAATAAACCAAAAAAGACTCAACATAATTATTAAACATACACTGCTTCAAACAATTCCTTAGAAACTTCTTCATGTATGATTATTTAATTTGCAATGTTCGCTTCATGCTAGTTTGTTAATCTTTCTTTAGGTCGATTACGAGGCAAAAGGCTTCTGCGAGAAGAACAAAGACGTGCTATCAAATGATATGATTGCTTTGATGCAGTCTAGTGAAGAGTAAGGCCTTTTGCTTTAATTCACTGAATGTTTCTCAAAGCTTACTTATTTATCTAGTATGGAAACACGTAATGTTGATCTTACGTACCTCGTTTTAAGTACGTACCAGTGCAGTGTCCATTTTTCTCACCATGAACTTTTAAACCTCATTCTTCCATGGACGACTACATGCTGCATTTTAATCTTTTTTGATCAAGTCAATTAGCGATGGTATAACGCAGATTACATGTAAAAACACGACAAGTTTATCTCTAAAACAGTGTCCATTTTTCTCACCATGAACTTTTAAACCTCATTCTCCCATGGACGACTACATGCTGCAGTTTAATCTTTTTTGATCAAGTCAATTAGCGACGGTATAACGCAGATTACATGTAAAACACGACAAGTTTATCTCTAAAAAATTCTTCTTCTTCGCCTAAGGTCACGTGTCCTATTACTCCATGCTGAAGTCCCTTGATGTGACGCTTACATCTTCACATATCAGTTCAAAAATTAATCCTAGTACTCTAAATACACGGAACCGTTTCTTTGCTGTCTGTTTGTTTTTAATTCCAGCGCTTTCGTTCGTGGTCTTTTTCCTGCTGCTCCGAGCAATGAGAGTACAGGGCGCCGTGCCAAGTCCAATACCGCTGGAGCCAAAATTAAGGTATTTCCTGTTAGTTCCTTATCAATAGTTCAAGACTTAAGTCTCTAATACATTAGTACTTAGTACTTAAGAAGTAGAAGTATAGTGTCTTCTTTCTCACCAATAGATCTTTTTCACATGACGTCACATCCGTCATGTTTGTGTCCTGACACAACGAAACGGCGGCCATGTTCGTGTCCCAAACTAATCCTGTGGGAGTGGAACTCCTTTCTTATGCAAAGGCATTTCTTCTATCCCAATGAATTTGCATCATTACTGACTACGTGATTGGCCTTTCTCATGACGTTTATCGTCCGCCGTACCAGTTGTTGTCCCAAAACAATAAGTCGACGGCCATGTTGATGTTCCAAGCCAGTCCTGTGAGAGAAATCTTTTTCTTATGTTTAACTCCTTCTTTTATCCCAATAATTTGCACAGTTTAATTTCTACACACGTGAGTGAAGACGCTCCATACTTTCCATAGTTTCCAAGTTCTCTTACAGTTTTTTTGCTAACATTGTTGAGCCAGGCCTTGAACTACTTATTGAGCACATTATTTGTTAATCTATGTCAACACCTTTTTGTGTCATTTAGTCCCAAGCCGCCGCCCTGATTGACAAGATAATGACCTGCACTCCTCATTATGTCCGTTGCATCAAACCAAGTGAATCCAAGCAGCCACTAGACTGGGACGACCAGAGGTAAATATGGAGTGGAGATGTGTAACGTCACGTTACCATGGTAGCAAAATTTCTGGATCTCCACAATCTTTCTTGAAAGAGAAGGGCATTTGCCTAGGCGAAAGATGGAAGAATAGTATGGAATACCGTTTTTTTCTTTTTTTTTTTGAGTGCAGTCAAGCACAGGAAAGTCATACCTTTCAAAGCATCCGTTTTTCCGCCATATTTGCAGCTCCACGGTTTGTTGAGATCCAGAAATTTTGCTACTATGGCAACGTGACGTAACGACTTCTCCTCTCTACTGTTAGAGAGCTTATGCAAAAGAATTTTTGAGCGACTCACGTCAACCGGAAGTGTATTCGTTTTCATTTTAAATTACCTTGATGCTACCAATTTTTTATTTCGAAGTGTCTTCACTATTATAGAGACGATTTGTCCAAAAATTGAGGAAAACCACCGTCCAAAAATGAAAAAAACAAAAAAAAAAAGACTACTAACGGTTGACGTGCGTCGCTCAAAAACGTCTTTGCTTAAACTCCATTTTAGTTGAACAAAAAATTCAGGGAACATAATGTCCTCAAGAATTGTCTCCCCTCAACTTCTTTAACCTTAATGCTGACTGAGCATCAGGAAAATAGATGATAGAAATAATTTAACATCTTTGAATAATCACAAAAATAATCCATTTGCCGGTGGAAAAATAAGGAGTAAAAAAAAAATTTTATAAAGGTTTTTGCCGTGAAGAAGTATGCACGTTGCATTCTGTAAATATAATTGAGTGCATAGCTACTAAGGTACCTAATTTTTGCTGTTATGTTTTGAGCAGATTTTCACTAGTCTTTTTAATGTGGTTATTTTAAATTCAATAAGATTAGATTGCTTTCACATGACGTCACTTTCTCCATGTTGTTGTCCCAAAACAATTAAAAGGCGGCCATGTTGGTTATTCAAACCAATCCGTTGGGAATTAAATTCTTTTCTTATGTAAAAACTTTACTTTAATTCCAAGAGATTTGCATTGCTGCTGGCCACGTGAGTGAGTGTCGTGATACAACTCACTTCGACTCTGAAGATGACTACCACAAAGGTTGTCGAAACGTCCGAAACTGTCAACAACAACAGTCCCCTTCAGGACTACGTTCACCCGGACGATCATACTGAAAATACTTTGAAGGCTCTATTTATTATGTTTTCCCTAACTTCTTGCAGAGTGTTGCATCAAATTAATTACCTGGGTTTGAAGGAGAACATCCGTGTTAGACGAGCTGGGTTTGCATTTCGTCGCCAGTTCCAGCAAATCATTTATAGGTTAGTAGTATTTTGTCAAATACCGCCCCCTACTCCGCGAGAAAACTGTTAACTCCACCCTGGCGTCAAAACGGTAGCACAGAGAATATTCTATTCTCCCTCGACTGAAATTGCGTATTTACATGTCAGGTAATTCATACTAGTGTTGCGTCTTAATTACTATTCGGGTAGCTGAGATATTCAAGGCTTATAGCGAGCTTTAAGTATTTTTTCTTTCTTTTATGGTATATTTTGCAGGTATGGTATAATCTCTCCTCATGTTCACAAGGGCTGGGATGGTGACCCGGCTGAAGGATGTCGCATTATAATGAATGATGCTGGAATTGATTCTTCAAAATGGCAGGCAGGAAAGACAAAGTTGTTTCTTAAGGAACCAAGCACGGTAATGTAATCACTAATGTTTAGAAAAAACGTGATAGTTTGAATTACCAATCTCTCCGAGGGGCCCACACCGCTATATTACAATTTTGTGGCAAAGGAAGGTGCCGAGTAATGTAGATTAATAGAAATTCGTCTAAAAATTCACAGCTTTTATAAGAAAACCAAAGTCTAGCTTAAGCTTGGTCATTATCGCTCTACTGCTTATGGATCGAGGTTCGTGGTTACTTTTTGGCAAATCTTGATTCTCCGACATGTATAGGGAACCTAGTAGGCTTCTGAAAGCTACTCACTATTATTTAAGAGTATCGATAAGTGAGGGACTGGATTTAAGACGCAATTATAGCTAACTTTTGAGATGCTCCCCTCCCCCCCGTTTTTAGAGGATTTATTGCAAGGAAGGTCTAGGTGTGTTTGTTTGTTCTCCGTCTTAAGGCCATATGGAATGCGATATATATAACTGTCAAGCTCAATTAACTTTCTATTGTTTTCTAACTGGCTATTACTGTACTTAAATTTTGACAGCTAAACAAGCTTGAAGACGTCAAAAACAGGATTTTGGAAAAGTATTGCATTACAATTCAGGGAACTTACCGAACGTACAGATTACGGAAAAGATTTCAGAATATACGGAAAGGTCTGTATATGTTTTATTGCTGAGGTTAAGTTGCACACAAGATCACGCTTTTTAAGATAAACACCTGGGGGTGGGGGAGGGAAGGCCGGGAAAGGAGGGCACTCTTGTTTGAAGTTGACAAGGATGCTCTTCGTTTCGCTGAGAGGGATAAAAATCACCCTGGGATGTTCAGAATGGAAAGCCAATGTTTTTACCCTAGGGGCTGTTTGGAGAGAGGAAAGAGCCGTATTGATGAGTGGGGGATGATCCCCTGAGCAACGCAAGCTCAGCAAAGTCTCCCGCGATCCTTTGGTCATGTTTATTGGCCTACCTTTTGCTACAAGATCGTCTCCTCCAAGAGTTCATGTTTTGGCTCAAAATTAATTATCCATCATTCAATTTCATCTTCCTGTTGCTCTTGGGTATAGAAATAACAAAATTGATACGATAGAAGGTAAAAATTAAACCAAAGAGGAAATTTGAGTTACACTGCTAAGACGTATAAATGACAGTTTTGTTTATCGTTTTGTTTATCTTTTTCTCTAACTTTTAAGGTGTAGCTGTGATCCAGAGAGCATATCGACGATATAGAGAGCGAAGTGCTCTTGATAAGCTGATAACAATTAAAAAGCTCCTTCAAGGTGTGTAATGATAATAATAATAATGAACTGTATTTAGCTTATAAATAATACTGGAATTGTAATATAGCATATTTTATTTTATTTTAACTTATTTTCTCTCGAGGATATTAGCTCTACAGCTACTCTGTAAATTTCGAGCATAAATAAAGTATATGTGTGTAATAAGTGTGACCCGTGTGACGTACTCTGTCTTCTTAGACTTTCATTAAAGTTGGAGAGGTTAATGATCTATTCGTAGTTATGGACATGAAAACACTGCGATGTTGTATTTTAGCACTTAAAGATACTAGAGATAAGGTCATTGGCCTATGGAATCTTTTGTGCCCAGCTGAATCAGAATGGCGTGATGATTTAAAGGCCAGTGTGTGCAGATTCATAATATATAAATTTAGCTAAGGCCAAAAGCGAAGCTCTCGTGGGACATTTTCTGAAAAATCTTACTCCAGTAGTTCAACATTTGCCATAACCAAGAAGAAAACTAAATTCCTCCTTTCAAAAATGGACCTGAGCCCGCGATCAATTGAAAACCAGGAGCCCATTGTTGAAAACCATTAACTGGTCAACGGAGAACTTAAAAAAAACGTCACCTCAATTAGTTGTACACCTGAGCCCGCTATACAGCCATGTGACACCGGTTAGCGGATACACCTTTTTGGCAGCTGTCAATTGACTATAACATGGATGTCCTGAATATCAAGTTTAACACTGATTGTTTATACCTCGGCCTCAAGGCTGCTAGTAAGTGTGACATCTCACATCCGCCAACATAAGGGGTGGATGTACTTACGTGCGATTTGTCACAACTACAACTTTCTGGGATGCATATATAACCAAATTTTATTAACATGGTGCTCCGCTGTTGTTCTCGCGAGAGCTCCACTATACGTACGCCATCTGTAAATATATAGGAAAAGCACTAACCTATCGAATTGAATGTGTTTTTATTAAATCTTTTAGGTGTCGATGTCCTAGGGGACAGAAAAAGAAGACGAGCTTCGTGGGACATGGGTTTCAAAGGAGATTACATGGACTTCCAGAACAATAAGCCCTTACAGAACGTAATACGTAAGGCTTACGTTTATGTTATTAAAACTATACATGAAATAATTAAATTACGCACAACAAAACTCCAATTCTTTCATTATAGATTTAATGAAAGTGGGGGGGAGCAGTGAAACTTTTGGGAGGGAGAGATTCCATCCTTTGAGCGCAGAGGTCCAAAAAACAAAAATGAATTACGTGGTGAGCTGAGTGAGGTAAGCCCTTCCAGAGAAGAGTGGATAGAATCAAACAGGTATCGGGATAACGTTCATCTACTTATAGCATTCATTAACGATCAAAGTTTGTCGTATCGTCCCCAGTACAAACAATGAACATTATAGGCGATGCCAGTTCAATTACCTCGTTAACCTCCACTACTATCATGAGTTGCTTATAACAGTGCCTTTCTTTTTCACGTAGCGGATAAAAGGGTGGAGTTTGCGGCTGAAGTAAGGAAATACTCTCGCGATGGAAAGGTATTGACACTTGTCGAGTCTTGTCGAGGAAAAAAACAAAATCATTGGTTTAACCTTTTTTTTTTCTGTCATAGGAGCAATTTCGGGTTTTAGTGTTGACGGGGAAGTGGCTGTACGTCATTGGTGAAGTAAGTTGAACTTACCCCAGAGAGTATTTACTAACATCACTGTTACAATCACCATTGCCATTATCGTTATTATCGATAACTTTTGTTTTACTCCTTCTCAGTTGTCATTATTATTATTAATATTATATTTATTTTTTACAAGCAATCAAAGGCGTATAATAAGTTCGTTTTTCGTTTGTCTTTTCACAGGTGAAAAGTACTCATAAATTAGGAGATGTGGCTTACAAGGTTAAGCGAAGGCTGCACATGGCCGATATAAATTCTGTCACAGTGAGGTAAGGAAAAACGCAGTGCTTAACATGATAAATGTAATTCATGAAAGAACAGTGATAATCAGTAAATCAATGAATTAATTAATCATAACAGTGAATTAGGATAATTTTAATTGATTGGATATATCTTTTGAATTCATCGACAAAATAACAGACGACCTAGGCGCAAGATAAACCTTTTAAAATGCTCCTTCAAGGCCTGCGACAATGAACTAATTTACTTGTATTTTCAATATTTCAGTCCTCACGATGACTCCTTCTTTGTGCTTCATGCGAAGGACTATGACAATCTATTTGATTGTCCAATGTTGCCCGAGGCTCTAAACAGATTAGCTGTGGTATATAAGCTGGAAAACGACTGTGAGCTACATCTGAATGTAGCTGAAAGGTAAGGTCTTCTTTTTCTAAAAGAAAAATTTATGTATCTTTGATAAAAAGTTTAAAAGCTTAGTACGTAATAAGATTTCAACCTTTCCTGGCTCTCTGCACTTCTCTCGAACAGAGAAAAAAACAAAGATTCACTTATTCATGATTTTTTTAAAAAAATATCCAACCTTCTGCGGTCATTCACTATTTTGTTAAAGACAAGGCGAACATTTGTTTTTTAACACGCTACTTTAAGAAATTTCAGATAAACCACTGCATTATTTGATAAAGTAACTCAAACTACAAACAAAATCGTTCAAGAAATTTCAGTTTGATTTTTAAGAGCGGAAATCTTGCAGTTTCATAAAGGTTAATTGTAGGAAGTGGAAAGGATAGGGTATCAGTTAATATTCATCAAAGAGTTGAGATTCTAAAGGTAACCCTACACAGCTGACTAGAAATCTTATTTCATTCATTGGCTTTAGTGTGGACTGTCAAATTAAAGGAGGAGGTGTCCGGCATATTCATTTTTTAGAAAAAGGGACCTCTAGATTAAAAACCTCACCTTCAAAGAAGACATTTACTATTGCAGCATCTATAGGTAAGTTAGAAACAAAGTATACGTGAAATAATCTGGACTGTGCCTGTCGTTATCTGATTAGCCTCCTCTGTCATCTTTTGTCAGGAGTTCAAATGTGAACTTGGGAAAAAATTTTAAAAGGCTATGAAAGCACATAGTAATAAACCTATTCGCTTTGAATTAGTGTGGAGGGACAATACGTCACTCTGTACGACGAAATCTTGTGAGTTTACTATTCAGATGAAACCTTTCTGGCAGAGCGGTTGCATGGCATTATAAATTCTTAGGATTTTACAAAAAAGAAAATGTAATTTGGAACTTTTTTATTTAGTGGATCACCCGCCCGAAGAAGATATTCTTGTCCCAGGTATAACTGAGGAAAGGCGGGTGAGTATTGAACTATTTGTTGACAAAGTGGCGCGAAAATTAAGCCGCTCCTATAGCGTCCAAGTCCCAGNATTAAAGGAGGAGGTGTCCGGCATATTCATTTTTTAGAAAAAGGGACCTCTAGATTAAAAACCTCACCTTCAAAGAAGACATTTACTATTGCAGCATCTATAGGTAAGTTAGAAACAAAGTATACGTGAAATAATCTGGACTGTGCCTGTCGTTATCTGATTAGCCTCCTCTGTCATCTTTTGTCAGGAGTTCAAATGTGAACTTGGGAAAAAATTTTAAAAGGCTATGAAAGCACATAGTAATAAACCTATTCGCTTTGAATTAGTGTGGAGGGACAATACGTCACTCTGTACGACGAAATCTTGTGAGTTTACTATTCAGATGAAACCTTTCTGGCAGAGCGGTTGCATGGCATTATAAATTCTTAGGATTTTACAAAAAAGAAAATGTAATTTGGAACTTTTTTATTTAGTGGATCACCCGCCCGAAGAAGATATTCTTGTCCCAGGTATAACTGAGGAAAGGCGGGTGAGTATTGAACTATTTGTTGACAAAGTGGCGCGAAAATTAAGCCGCTCCTATAGCGTCCAAGTCCCAGACCCAAGAAGCTTTACTGCCGTAGCCAAAGCCATATTTGGGCCGTCTGGTGGTGGTATTCAATGTAAAGGAGTGTTTGTAGACCTTCCAGAGGGATCTCTAACCTCCCATACCAAGGAGGTCTGTATTCAGCTATGCAAGAACAAGACAGAGGCGGTGCCGCTCAGTGAACACGAAACTATCATCAGTCGGGTTGTGGAACTCAGCCCTCGTGACAAACCTCTGCAGCATCACGCAGCTCTTTGCTTGCCATTGGATGATGTATCATGGGATGGCTTTGAGAGATTTCTCCGTTGGACTCCAACTCAATCTGGAGAGAAAGCCAACTGGAGAGATGTGCGTGTCTCGGACACAATACAGGGCAAGGATGAAGACCAAACGTTTGTTGAATTGAGACAAAAGAAAGCCAAGGTAAACACCAAAGTGTTTGGTATATTCTGTATTGTCTCAAGTGACCTGAATCAGAACCTTGAACATCCACGGAAAGAATCAAACACCAGCGATGCTATTAAAGCTTACAAGGAAAGCAACAATACAAGTTTACTCCAACGATTTCAAAGTGCACACACTGGCAAAGCTGATGCCCATGGATCAACGGTTCAAAATAACTTAACTTCTTCAAGTTCTCATCACAAGTCTGGATGGTCCTTTTTAAAGCGAATGAGCGTCATGAAAAGCACGTCCAAAACAACAAGCAGTAAGAGTAAGGATAATAACACAAGGCAATCAATTTTTAAAGCAAAATCCCGTTATTATGATGCTGAAAATAATTTTAAGCCATCCCAGGCCACCGAGTTACCATCGCCTCCTACTGCCCCAACAACAGAATGTCCATCGTCACTTCCCCCTGTCCAGTCAACAATGTGTCCACCACTGCCTTCCGCAGTCCCAGCAACTTCTTCTTCATTGCCCCCTCCCGATGTCCCTACATCAAGCCCTGCGTCTGAAGGACCTCCACCTCCTCCACCTCCTCCTCCTCCATCCTCACAGCCGCCTGAATCATCAGCTGCTCCTTCTTCTGGTACAGACAACTCTTTTGCCGCCATGCTGCAAGCACGCAAGGCAAATATTCTCGGCTAAAATAAAAAAAATAAAGATAGACTAATGAGGCAATATAACATTGTTTCGTGAAATAGCGAAAGTTCTGGCAAATTTAATCATTGTGACCCGTTGTTATCTTTCTAAGAAGAAACAAAGGCAACTACCACTTCTGCATGTTAGCGAACGAAATATTTTGTTGTTTCTTCCTTGTAGAGGAAGCTAATCAACACTAATTTGAGCCTGAATAGACAAATGGTAGCTAGACTAAATTTGAAGATAACTGTTTTTTTTTTTCTTTCTCCCTGTTGATTACTTTACTGCTGAATAATTGTGTAATTATAATTATAATAAAAAACGCTATACTAGAAACATGTGTAAGCAGAGAACGAACAGTTCTGCTGGTCTGTTTTTTATTGTGATTAGCTACGCATACGTATACGTTGCGCTCAAAAACTTGATGGGGATCATTTCTACGAATGTTGCTCACATTTTATAAGTTGGGGAGGGAGGGGAAGAGGTCGCCAGCTTTACTAATATCATTGGAAAGGTACCATCAATCTTGACCTCCATTGTTGAATCATTAAGTTCCCTACCCAAAATCACTTAACTTAATTAAGAGTAATTCAGGGTTCGAGGCTGTTCAGTTTTCTCCGAAATACTGTTTAATCTACTCTTGTGATCGTGGTGCGAGGGATTGATGTAGTAAGCTGAGCCCGACTTTTTAATTTATGTCCTCTTGGCATGGCGAGCGTTGCCTAGCCTGCGTTTCTGTCTTTTCCCTGTTTTTCTCTGTTTTTGTCTGTTTTCCCTGGTCTCTCCTGTTTTCCTATCTTTCACCTGTTTTCCCCTGATTTTTGCTATGTTTTCCCATGTTTTTTCCTGCTTTCTCCTGTTTTCGCGGTTTGTAATGTTTTCCTTTATAAAATAACTAAGATCTGATTGGCCGAAAGGGGTGTTTGCATGAGAGTATGCAAACATGGTTGTGGCGTCAAAATGTTTTGCTTTTCGCGCGCTGATCACACAAGCACATATTTGAAAAAGTTTTTGAGTTGAAAACTCGATACATTTACTTTATTTACCCACTCCCTCGTCGGCTGAAACTTGGAAAATCTTCGGAAACATGCTGTGTCAATTTTTTTTTTCGATTAAATTAAACCGACATTTTAGACGAGAAAAACCCGTATTTTTGGAAAGCATCTTTGTTTCAAAACAAGAACTGATTACGCATACAAGCTTGGTGTACAAGACTTTGCAACAGGTAGGAATTTGTCTTTTAATCACTGCCCTAAACAAAGAGTTTTGCATTTTTTATCGGGAAAGTTATTTTATGAAAGCAATAGGAAAGATTTTTCCTGTATTTGCATAGCCTGATATAAACACTCGAGGGGTTGGGAGAATTCTCGACAGTTATGTGTAACTCTCGAATTCTCCCAACACTTCTCGTGTTTATATCAGGCCATGCAAACGCGGAAAACGTTTTCTATTGCTTAAGTGTTTTCTCCTGCTTCATCCTGTTTACTTATGTTTCCACTTGATTTCCTCTGTTTAACACTTAAGAATAAAAATAAGCGAAAAAAAGAGTTTAACACAACGTTTCGATGTCGCCATGACATTGTTATCAAGTGACAAAGATAAAACTAAAAACTGACTTAATATATACGGTTTACAGTGACAAAATAAAGAACAAAGGAAACGTTGTGTTAAACTTTTTTTGCTTATTTTCATTGATAAGTGTTTAACAAAATTTCCCTTGTTTGCTCTTGTTTAAAGTTCTTCACTATTTTTCTCTGTTTTCCGCTGTTTTCTACTTGTTTTCTGTTTTCCCCTGTTTTTCCCCTGTTTTGGGGGGCTAACCCCCAAACAGAGAAAAACACAGTAAAACAGAAAAAGAAAGGAGAATCCAGAAAAACAGGGTAAAACAAGAGAAAACAGAAAAAAAGCACCGGGAAACAGTAGAAAACAGATAAAAACAGTGGAGCAAGGGAAAACAGACTGCGAGAAAAACAGGAAAAACATGCATGGGATAACAAGATAAAACAGATAAGAACAGTGAAAACAGTGGAAAACAAGGGGAAAACAGCGGAAACAGGGACAAACACAAGAAAAACAGTGGGCAAAAGGGGAAACAGACAAAAACAGGGCAACAAGGAAAAACAAGGGAGAAAAGAGGAAAACATAAATAGTCAAGAAAATAAAGGTATGGAAATAATTTTTTTATTCGGGACAACTTATGGAGTCTTACATTACATACTGAACGAAATTCAATTGCATAACAGTAGACATATTGTTGGAATATAGCGACGATTGTTCTTAGTTTTCATTGAAAAAAAAATAGCAAACTTAAATCACAGCAATGACAGTAAACGCGCTCAATCTCATGTACATAAATTGGGTGACAAAATCCGGCTATCGTTTTCTATCCAGCAAGATTAATGGAAGTAATAAACCATTGGTAGGCTGTAAGAAAAAGAAAAGATTTCTGGGTAGTTATTCAGTTTGATGGCAAGCAGCGGAAGGCCGAAGCGGAAAAAAGATTTCTGAAGAACTGTTCAATCTTACTGCGAGAAAAAGAGGAAAGAATACCTCAGTAGAACTCTATACTATTTAATACTGACTCGATACTGACCCAGTTTTTAGCCAGTTTTGATCTGAAAGGCTAAGTTAAAACTCTTTTTGGTAGCTCCAACGGATTATCACGTGAGCATCACGCCTCGAAGAAATACATACAGTCGAAGTTCTCCTTGCGACCACTCTCGAAAGTGACCAGCTCTTGTTACGTCACGACCACCTTTGTGAAACCCCGTTTTAACTGTGACTTAAACTTTGTAATGAAAAGCTCTCTTAGCGACCGTTCAGCAAGCGACCGCGACGACTTCTGGGATTACTCACTGTTTTTAAGCTCTCGTAAGCGACCACCCAGAGTCTTAATCAATACTAATATTTAGATTTGGGGTTACTATGGTCTTAAAACTTAGACATAAAGTTTAGCCGTGTCTAAATCAGATATAATCTAAGACACTCATTGAAGATTGATTTATCTTCCTTTCTTTTTTCTTTATGAATTATTAATGAGTTTCTGAAGCTCTCGTAAGCGACCACTCTCTATTGTTTTCCTGATCAAGTTGCTTACGAGAATTGCTTACGACTGAATGCTTCTTCTAGTAAGCAACCAGCTCTGGTGACGACCACTTTTTCGAATCTCTGAGGTGGTCGCTTACTAGATCGAGAGCTTCGACTGTAACTCGTAAACCCTTGCGTAATTCGGTGTAGCACTCTAGTTAAGCTCTCAAGCACTCATGTACTCAAGTTCCGGGCGCCAAGACTGGTTGGGTGATCAGCCGTGAATATATCTTGAGCCCGGGGGGGGGGGTGTACTTTCTTATGAGAGGCTAATAGGGATGTGCCGCTGGATGGGGTCGCATTTTCACTACTGGATTGACTATAATTGGGTCGCATTTTCAATAGAGTCACTAGAATGGGGTCACACATTTTCGGATTTTTTGGGGTAAGACAGTTCTTCATATTTACGTTAAGCAAACATACGAGAATGTTTGTACTGCAGATGAAAAGTAAGGTGTTCTTCCTTCAATCTAAAAAATGGAACAATTCATAAAAATAGAAAGTGACTAAGTTGGGATTGCGATAAAAACAGATTTACCCTTAGGTGACTAAGATGGGATCTATAATTGGTAACAGAATAGACTATAATGAGGCGGGGGCTCTAAGAAGCCAGCGGCACATAACCAGCAAAAATTAACCCGAGTAACCCCCCCCCCCCCCCC